ATATATATATATAATACTTTGCTATAATGTACTGTAAAAATTTGTATTCATTATTTGCAAACAATTAAATTCCAATTTTATCGCTAAAAAAAATTTAGCGGAACAACTTGTGAATAAATATATAAGGTGACTAAATTTAATAATCGGATAATGGAACGATAAGAACATCCAGATCTGGTAGCTGTGCTTCACAATAAATCTGCGTTATATGCGCTGCGACGTGGAACCAAAAAAAGAAAGAAAGAAAGAATCCACAAGGCTTCCTTAACACTATACGACTATATTATGCCATTGGAATTATAATTTCGACCTCGTATTACAGAATGTGTCCCGTGATGATCGCGCATGCCAGTGTTACATCTTATACTTTCTTCTTGCTCCTTGCATATAGCAAGGCGATCACGTAATTAATTCTGCGATTTTTCATTTTTTGACCTTTTAGCTTCCCAGGTCCGGCAGACGCGATGCCACCGAGGTACTAAACATGTACTAAACGCACTAGCGCATGCGAAAGGCGACCGAAAAAAACAAAAACCGTAAAAAAAAAGATCAGCCTTTTAGCAGCGATCACTCGCTTATCGGACTCGATTACCTAGGAATTGCCGTCTGCGTTCGTCGTTGAGTCCACGATAATTATAATGAAAACTATATAAAACTTACAATAGAACTTAACGTTTAGTTGTATCGTAAAGTACGGTAAGAATAAGGAAGATATCAATAGAGAATATATAAACAATTATTTGAATTTAAGCTCAATTTTTTTTCAAGTATATTATTAATGAGTTCATATATGAATTGATCAATTAATCAATTTATTATTGGTAAACCTGCTATGTTAGCCTATTGTATGTTTAAAGAAAATTTTCAACATTACATTATTGGAGTTTATGTTCGTAATTTTTTTCCTCGCTCCCTTTTTTATAAATAGATAAATTCCATTAAGTGTGAGTTTAATATTTTGCTCGATTTAATGCTCTAACTGCCTACAATGTAGCGTATATATGATTTTGTTATATCCTATAGTGCTTAGTATTAATTCTACAAAAGGTGACTTATGCTACAATAATGATGCTGTATAATCGTTTTTTACACATAAGAACTTGAATAATATTTTCAAATGTTCATTCATAAAGCAGAGAATAGCAGTATCACAATGTACCTTTATATAAAACCAATAAAGTGCAAATATGAATGCCCTAAAGCAATCTTTATAAAAGAAAAAATTTTCTAATAATGTAATATAATTCATCTTCTTACAGTCTTTCTGTGCGTAGTAAAATTATCACTAAATTTAATTATTTACCAATTATAACGTATGCCATTATATTAAATACAATTAAAACATTATTTCATTAAAGATCTATCATCTATTTTCAATATCATTCATATAAGGAAATATTAGTCAGTTTTTACCTAAAGATATTTCATCTTTATTTTTCTCTGTCTATTTTTTTATATCGTTTTATACTATTTTTTATTATCAATATTAAAGTATACAATCTTTACGTGACTCAGTTATTCCATAGAAGAAACCATCAATTTATGCAGTAACATCGGAGTAGAATACTAGTTGTCCATTTAATACATCAACTTGTGTCATTCGTAGCAGCGAGCAGAGCAAGTCAAAAGCATAGATTATTAATAATCAGCGTGCGTGCAACTATGCTCTTTAATATTCTTAATTCGACGACGTTATGCATTGTAATCTTGAATTCTAAGACAATCTAACAATAACATGTAATTATTATCTCTTTGTACATTAATAGTAATAATATTAGTAAATGTAAGAATGTTCATCTAAGTGTCTCAAAACATGGAAAATTTTATGAAACATCGAAAAATTGATCGAACATAAAAGATTCAATAACAATGCAGAACGCCAAGTCAATCTCCAGCTGGTGCAGTTTACTTAATTAGATCTGTACTGTGAGAAACGCCGGTTTGTGAATGACCGTGCGATGAACGCGATTGTCGAACACGTTACCCTGGTGGCGGCGGCTTGTTGACCTGCGATTATTGAAGAAACCGATTACGACGATTATTCGCTATGCGTGGCTACCCGTAGATGCGGCGATCAGCGAATAAAGCAACCTGCGATATGTGGATAATGCGCCACAAATTGCGTTTGCGCTCAAAGCTTGGCGTGCTTTGAATTTAACCAGGAAAAGGTATGTTTAACGCGTGCGAACCTTTATACTTTATCTATTGAGACAAACCCAGAGCGCCTATCTCTTAAGGGGGGAAAGGAATCCTATCACCTTATAATCACTATTTATATCAGTGTTTTCCACCTAAGTGCGAATGGAGAATGTCCGGTCGAACAAAATATAAAGCTGTTAAACGAAAGAAAAGAAAAAAATCGTCGATTACCGAAGCGCGTGTAAAGAAAGCGGCCGATTTTCTTCTCGATGATCTCTCGGCGTGTTGCGCATTGCGACAGAAAGCGCATTGATTCTAATTCCATCTCTATCATTTGTACACATAAAGCGACTCTTGTTAAGATGCAACTAATACAACTATCCACTCAGATCTCTGTCAAAAACGAATCTACATTATTTATTCGATTCTTTTGCTTGAATGCTTCTTACTCTCCTTTCTTTTCTTTTATCTAATTATTAGGGAAGTTAAAAAAACGTATTATTTATCTAATTATTAGGGAAGTTAAAGAAACGTTTGTAGATCTATGATTCACACAAATGATATTTTTATATAATAAAATTAATAAATTTATAATTAAATTTGTATAATTAATAATTTTTTTAAATTATAAAATTTTGCATTACGAGATTAATATTAGTTTGTATTAAATATCAAATTGTACATTTAATATTAAATGATGTCAGATATATTCGACAATTCAAGAAATGAAAGATTATTGTAATCTAATCTTTTTAACAGATTGGAAATAGATTGATATATTGCATCTCTCGATGTCGAAACCTCACGGGTCCCTCTCAAAGTAACGCGTTCGTATCGATGCTTTATGAGATGGAATTAGAGCGCAAGGTAAAAACGAATGCGATGCGTGAATTGAAAAGAATGCTGATTTCTTGCTAACTTTTGCCACCGCAATTTGCGAATTGTTTGTTTGAATATCGTTACCACCGCCGAATCTCATTCCGCAGATTAAATTTTAAAATTTCGCTCGTATCTCGTGATGAAACTAAGCGCCACGTTGTAATACACGCCGTTATGTCCTCGGAATAACTTGATGTTGATAGAAGAACGTCGTAAAAAATTTTTTCTAATTGTCGACCTGTACAGCGCTCCTATTAACTGTTCAATTGAAATGTTATGTCTCTTATTATACTCCCCAAAAAAGTGCATTCATTTTATGAAATATTATCAATATAAAATATATGTGTACTCTTGATTTCACATCGCGTTCAGACTCAAGTTAATAGAATCATGTAAAGTCAATTGAAAAGAGAGTGAAGTATTATACAGATATTTCACTAATTGTTAATAATTTATCAGCATCGATTTTATTTGGCGTTCATATAAATATATGATAAGATTTTTCATTATTTACCCACAATTTAGTGGGATATTTCATGTACGTTTCCATATAATAAGATAATTTTTTTAATAGATTACAAACGGGATGAAGACAAATGACTGATGGACATTGAGATGAACTCAATGGGAACTGCTAATAATCCTCAGAAGCATTCACTGTCAATGAACTCGTTTGCTCGTCTGGGGGACGAGAGTTAGATGTGCAGAAGATGGATAATTATGCCTGGCTCCTTGTAACAAGAAGAAAGTACATAGGAATAAAGTATGGAATTATTATCAATTATATACATTTTCTTTATGCATTATAAATATGTTTTATTAGCTAACTATAATACGATAAGGTAATTCATTTTTTTAAAGATAATAAAACTTTTTAGCAATATTTAAGTTTTTTATCTTTAATCCTGTCCTTAATCTTGCCAAGTGTAATAAAAAAAAATAAATAAATAAAAATAAATATTTACTTAATTAATTATCAATTAGTCTCATAATTAATAGTTTTATTATTATATTTGTCTATAAAAAAATGTATATGATAAAGGAAGATAGAAAATTTAATCTGAATATATTTTAATATGATTTTTATTAAAATGGAAAAATATAAATATATGCATTACGTATAAAACTAGAATATATTTTGTCTCGTATTTTTTCTTGTTCAGGTTTTAAAATGAACATCACACATTAAGCATATATAATGTGCAAAATTTATTTTTTCTATCCCATCATTTCTCCGTAAAGTCAGCGCCAAATTATATGCGATTGAAAATTGTGTCTGGCATTAGTTTTAGAGATAAACTAATTATATATAGTATACTATAGTAGTAATAATACTAACAAAGTAAATTTATAAAACGAGTAAAGCTATAATGTGTCTACAATATACGCTCAAACAATGTGGCACAATAAAATAATCTAATTCTTTTTTAATGATTAACTCTTCAATTTTTGTTGTATTTGATGAGATATCTGTAGTATAATTTTTCATAATGTATTTTTCTTTTTTATATTGGAATCCAAATATATGCAGACACGATTTATAGCCAATTTGATTTTTTACACTATTTTATATAAGCTGGAGGCTCTACTATGTATAAAATCATTTAGTGATAAAAATATAATATGAATACTTTAATCGATAAACTATCCAATATTAATATTATTCATATTTTTAGCTGATTATATATTGGATATTTTATCAGTGAAAGTATTTACTTTGCTATTTTTATTTATAACAGCCTTTGTAGTATTGGAACAACATATATCAAATAGGATTCTTCAAGTGAAAAACATTTTCTTCATATTTAATTAAAAAATGTTGTGAATTATCCTCCAAAAATGATTATTAATTATCGATATTTCTGAATAAATTTGTATTATAAAAATCATTTTAAAAGGGTGAGTCAGAACTTTTTTTACTACTCAATATAACAACTCAGTATAATATTTGAGTCTGATGTTATAAGCTCATGACAAACTGGGTTCTGGTCCAACACCGCCTGCAAATCTGTACACGAGTGAAGCTACTTCCACAGCTAGTTTATTAACATCCGACGAACTCTCACATTCCGCATAAACGCGGACGATATCTTCAGTTCCGGAAGGTCTGAAAAGAAAGTCAGTTAATCTATTGTGGTAATTTTTAAGATTTTTCAATAAACTTCTGATGAATGAAAACTACTTCAAAAACCTCTCTAAAAGTTTTGTATATCAAAACACAAAAACATACTATACCTAACGAAAGATCGACCTCTTGAATATTTCAAGACGATCTTGTCAATCTCTTCTTGTAAGCAAATAGGAGTTAGGCAATGTCTTTCTGCATTCGTTGTTGTTATAATATTTCTATCCTTCACTCTGACTTTGAGTTGCCTATTCGGAAGATCGTTGTAACTTCTTTCCCACTCGATAACATCCCAGCCCTTGGCGTGTAATATAGTCTCGACTAGTAACATATCACTCAACGCATCGCCAACCGTTTCGTTTATTAAATCGATTACATCCCTCAGTTTTGAAGAGGCCACCCTTTGTGTCGTTGAAAGTATTTCGTTCTTAGCGTGGTTCTTGATAGCTTCTTTAGCAGTATCTTTGAAGATTACGGTTCCATGTCCGTTTGCCTCGAAATAGACTCCAATGTCAAATTCCAGCGCTTTCTTGTGCAAATGCTTCACACCAGTTGGCACACACGCCACTGGAACTTTCAAGACGTTCGAAATATAATCGGTTGAACCACCATTGGCATATGCGGTTTGCACCAAGCCTAATTGTAAGGATAAACCACTCATTTCCAATAATTCTTTGAAGTAAGCGGCCACTAGCGTTGCTATTCGGTCCCCATCCAAAAGATGAAATTTATTATTCCCGTCTATGTAAAAATACACCACTCTATCAGCGTCTCCGTCTATACTGACGCATCTAATACTCTTCTCAGATGGGATATTCAGAGGTAATATCTGTTGTACTTTGACAAAATCCGCGCCACACATATGATTCAAGTCCCCGCTTCCGTCGTTAAATAATTTGATATCCAATACACCCTTCAGGTATCTCTGAAACTCTTTCGCCGCGATAGCACCCACGCCATTTGCAGTATCCAATTGCAATCCGCTTATGTACTTTCCATTATTTATCTCAGTGCCTCGTATGTTTTTGAATACTGCTGCTAGCTTCGAATAATAACCCTGCAGCGTGGGATTGCCGTAAGCGCCATCAGTGTTCGTGCATACCACGACGTAGTGTAGCTGCGGAGTTGTGACCAATCCTAAATCTGTAACATTGCCGTTTAATGCTTTGATTCCTGCTAATGCAGCTTTCAACAGGATGGGACTGCTTTTACGAGTATCTCTTCCTATTATCACCATGGCTGGTACCGACAAATCAATATTTTCCTTGGTAGATATATGTACTAACATTGGTATTAAATCACTGTCCAGCACATTAGCTAGATTTGTCGCTATCATTTCCCAAGAAGCTTCGAGCATTTCACCAGCTGGATCAACAAGCTTGATGCCATTATCAGGTTCCAAATTGTGACTCGCAGTAATCATTAGACCTATGGCGGCTGTAAGAAATTTATTTACCAAAAAAATTTAAATAAACTTAAAATTTCAAATGTTATAGAATGGATACTTGCTTAGCACAAGTTTTCCTTCAGTTACTGTTATGTTGCTGTCACACAAAAATAGTATCAGGCATTATCTGATCTGCCTTGATATAGCTTTCTTCGCTTATTTGTGCTGTAGCATTAATTACTATAAAGTTGCCATAATCTGTTTGTAAGAGAGCAACTATCGCGTGAGTGTTGCCAACAAGTCAACCGTCGATGGTAGTAAAAATAGGTAATCTATTAAAATCAGAAGCTGCTTTCTTTAATATTAAAGGCAATTTGAACAAAGCAATATCAAGCAAATTAACAGCAACCTGTGAGCATTTTGTTATGAGTATTATCTGATTAAATTATGTCTTTACCTTTTTTTACTTTAGATCGTAACACAGCTAAAAGGCCCATTCTGTATAAAACATGCTCCAAGATATCCGACCTAAAACGGATATATATATCAAATTATCTTAAATATACGAAACATTTTGTATACAGCTTATATTAGATAATCAAAGAATAAAGTAAATAAAGAATATTCTGCAAAAGATTTTAGTAAGTTAAGTAATAGTATTTTAAAAAAGAGATGGGCTCAAGAAGTGTCAATGATTTAAAAAAAAAATCTCTTACTTTGTTCTAAAACCAGCAGTTCCATATTCGATACGTCCGTCATTTTTCCGACTGTACTCCGAGTTCACAACATTGTTAAAATAATTTGATTTCATTGTGTATCGATACACTTTAACAGAGATTGATATCAGCGTGACAGTACCACGTGAGAATACCGAGTATTTGCCATATGGCGAGTACTTGCATGTATTCACCCAACTATTTTAAATAAATTACCTTTGTAGCTGCACTTTCTCATTTAAAATAAGATAGACATACATATGTTAGAGGAAAAAAGATAAACGGTCATCAACAAGAGAAAAAAATCTAAAATGAATCATAACCATAACAATTCGCTATCCCGCCATCGCCGATAAACGCATTGTACAGTGGCGTTCAACCGGCATAATTTGGTACTTCGATATGAGGTCGAGATGCATCGCGCATGCGCCAGACTCGTATTCCAGACGAGTATCTAAAATCTTAAATACTCCAAGATACATACTTTTTCGCACATACAGAACGTGTGAAAATTGTTAATTGTTTATTAGTCGCGTAAGTTCACATTTTAAATAATAAATTTAATTGATGTGTTTAATTTGATGTGAGAAATCTTGGGATCTGTGCTGTATACCAGAATTAGTTTTCCGGATATTAATTGTCGACCTTTCATTTCTCTTTTTCCACAATTATGTATAAATTAAGGATTAAATAAGGCTAAATTAATATACTTATTAACGAAATAATTTAAAGTAAATATTTGGTATCAGTATATGTATATGTATATTTTAATTGTTGAAAATTATAAAATCATATACATTATGTTATAGTTAACAATTAAATCTTATATATATATATATATATATATATATATAATATATATTATTAAATATATATGTATATATTTAAAGTAATGTACGATATTTCGTAATTAAAATATATATATTATATACAATAATTCAAAATACTGTTTGAACGCAGTTACGTTTAATTTTTGATAATTCTAGATATTGAATATTAAACATTGCATATTCACCTCTCCATTTCTTTCACTTTTTATTCTTCTACTCTTCAGAACTCTTCTGCAAGTTTATTATCACGTACATCATTTTCTGCTGCAATTTAATATCGCACATAGTTTGAAATGCAGCGATCCTAGTACAGCATAATTAATTTATTGGCGCAATATTGGCCCAACATTTCCAATGCATGCCAATGTTTATAAACCGATATCTCGTCAATGAATTATGCTACTCGGGATGGTTCAAAGAACCTTGCTTTACTGGGGGAAACATCGCGGAGCAAAGCATGCCAATCAGTCTTCTCCGAGTGGTTGGTGCGCCTACGTCTCTCGTGAAAAACACGAGCGTGATGACCAACAGTAATAAGTACAATTCATCTGTCGAAATCGGCACCACGACGAACAGCGAGAACACCAGACAATTCGTCAAGAAAGAAACGCTACGGAAAATCAAGTCGATTGGCGGTCACGTGGGGCTACTGATCACCCTAATGCTTTATACCGCGATCGGCGGACTGGTGAGTCTTGAAATGAAGACGATATTATCTTGAGCATGATTCAAATTTACTTTCTTGATATATAAATAAAGCCTTGTACATTAAACTCGTAATACTAGAAATCGCACCGAAATTTCAGATGGAGAAAAAATTAATAAATCAAATTTAAACAATTTGACCGATGCGATATTAATTAATTCTTTCTCTGTCCGAGATTTTGAAACATAAAATTTAAGATAGACATAATAAATAAGATTCAATGGTGATCTTATTGGCTACGAGTTTTCCTTAAAATTGATGATCATTTATAAAAGTGAAGATTGATTTTATCCATCAAACGCTAATTGATAAACATACGCAGAAAGAATGGTTTTGTTGAAATATCTAAAAATTTAGCTACATACAGATCTGAAAATAATTTTATTGGTCCATCGAAATATTTGTGTAGAAAATTTCAGCATGATGAGCAAAGCTGTAAAAAAGATTTTAATATATTCTAGCGGTCAGTTTGAGTATCTTACATAATTATTTTGGTAACTCAACAAAATTTATTTTCAGATCTATATATTTTTAGCAACATTTTTTTAGATATTTCAGCGAAACCATTCTTTATGTGTAATTATTAGTTATAATTAATATAACCAATAATATAACTGTAATACAAAATTAACAATTATATAACACAATTACATTGAGTAGAAAATTATAATTATATTATAATTATATTACTTTTAGTTGATATTTACTGGAAATCAGATGTCTTTTCTGTAACAAATGGATTTAAAGAGAATCAAAATAACCGCGTGAACAATCCGTTTATTTTTCGCTTTCTGAATTCCTCGTCTATTCGCGTCCGATTGATCGCGATTGCGGGCACACAAATCAATGATTTCCGTTCAATTTCAATTTTGAAGAAAACTTGTCGTATTACATAAAACGCGCGACAAAACGATCGAAGAAGAAAGCGAGATGCCGCCAACAATATCTCGAATTTACAAAGTTCACGAGTCATATGCACGAGTTTTCGTTTGAGAAACATCGAGATTTCTAGCGTGGAGTTAAATGTATTCGATATTCCATAAATATTTACATTCTGTACAATAACGAACGGACTTATAGCCCACCGAATCGTACCTTTATTTTTAGCGGCGAACCAATCGCGCGGTTTTGGTTGGAAATATATTACTACTGACGCCTTCAATGAAGTTTGGTAAAAATATCAGTGCGTTGAAATTCAGGATGATCATGATTTTTTAAGTGTGCCATAAAACAGCTGCGGAAATAACGTATTTCCTAAACAATATTGCTTCTCAATGAACTCGATTCATTTACGTCCGCCGATTTCTCATCTCTATATGAGTGGCTTAAAAGACGATTGCAACGTACAAAATTAACAAATATTAATTAAAAAATTAATTATTCATGGGACAACTGTTGAAATGATTAATAAAAAATCAACGCTTTCTTCGAAATGATTCGTTTTCAATAACAATTGAAAATAATATTTCTAGCATTGCTAAGCTTCCTTAAAAAGAAACGAGTATTTTATGTTGTATAATCTCCAACAAATTAGGAGTTACTTCCAGCACGTTTTAATAACGATATACGCACGTCAGTAAATCAACGATTGTAAACAGTGCAGATGGATGTCCATTTGCTCGATAAATACGCATATATCGAATGGTTTATTCTCATTAGTCTGAAATAGCACTTGAGACTCAAGAGCAATACTTATGGTTTAAAGACTTTATCGATTTATTATTGACTTCAATCAATCATTAACGCGAACTTCCAATAAAGGAAGATGATTTAATAAGCATCTATAACTTCTTCAATACGTTAATCTCATAATGGTCAGCGAAATTTTTGAAACATTTATAAAAAGTAAGTACAATTTAATTTAAAATTTTGAATGACATAATAGTCCTAAATAATAACGTAAAATAGAAAATATGCCATTCAACACTTTTTAAAATATAGTCTTATTTAATCATTTTACACACAATACGCTATTTAACTTCCTTTATATAGTTTTATTTAATTATTGGCTTATACATTTAGAAACAACAGTTGATCGTTCAGTATAATTGTTATCTTAAACAATTCAGATTTATGCGATTCAAGATATGATTTATATATCAAAATTGTTTCATAAAATTTTTTATTTTAAATACGTCTCCAGGTTTTCCGGCAGATCGAACTTCCGGCAGAGCTCAGACGGCTCGAGCGTTTACGCGCAAGATTACGTATGCAACGATATCGCTTTGTGGAGACAGTTTCCAACAGCACAGACATTTTCAATCTGCATACCTTGGTGAGAAATTAACGATATTGAAATATGAATATTCCGTCACGACACTCGGTGTCTTTCAGGTAAGCGTGAAATTGCGCATCTATGAAGAAGCAGTTCAGGAAGCAGCGGAGGCGGGTCTCCTGATCAGCTTCGTGACAGATATCATTAATCGTCCTGATTTTCCTGAATCGGAACTATCACCCATCGTGACTGAGAGATGGAACATTTTCCAGGCGATTTTTTTCGCCAGCACGGTCCTCACGACAATTGGTATCTAGTCCTAATTATCACTGAAGATTTTATTGAAGAATTTATGGATTATAATATATGGAATCAATAATATGGAATTATTTTTTCTTTCTCGCAAAAAAAAAATCATCTTGTACTAAAATTCCGTCATCCCTAAAATTAGATAAAGTTGAAAACTTCGGCTACATTTTGTTGCCTTTATATAAAAATTTAATACTGATCAATTTAATACTAAAGATAATAATTAATTATTTATTTGGAGTATTAAACAACAATGCTTTTAATATTTAAAATAAATAAATAGAATTAATTACTGATGTCTTTTAATATTAAATTAAAGAATATTAGATTTATGTAAGGAAATATCAATTTATTTTAACCAATGTAGTTTAATTTTAATTTTGGTTCAACTTACCCTTATAATTTTTAGAACTAAAAAAGATGAAGAGTAAGTTATACCGAAATTAAAGTTAATCTACATTGATAGAAATGGGTATTAGTTTGCTTTACGATGATTTGCATTTGCATGATAGGATATGGCAATGTTGTGCCCTCGACCAACTGGGGAAAAATTTTCTGCATCTTTTTCGCTTTCGTCGGTATACCTCTCACCTTGATAGTAATCGCTGATTGGGGAAAATTATTCGCAAATGCGATAATGCACATCGGGTTGATGGTGAAGTCGAAACTTCCGTTTCTCGCGAAGCTTTCGTTCATCCCGACGAATATAACCGGTCGACGATCACTAGGTGAGTTTAATTATCGTAATTGATTTAGATAAAATAAATAAAGAAGTCAAATGTAGTTGAAGTTAGATCTACTTAATAATAATAATATTTATATGTAAATTTTAAATACATACATTTTTAATTAATTTAATCGATTTTTGGTCTGATGATCTTTTTTATAGGTGCTTGTGCCACCATTATGCTACTCTTCCTTTATCTCGCCTGCGGAGCTGGAATGTTTATGCTGTGGGAGGACGATTGGGATTTTTTTGATGGATTTTACTTCTGTTTCGTAACCATGACTACCATAGGTTTCGGCGATCTCGTCCCAAGTAAGTAAAAAATAGAAATTTCCTATATCTTCAGAATCTCGAATCTTAATGAAAATAGGTTGATTATCTATTTGCACCAAATTTAATGTAGTTATTTTTATATATTGTCTATTAATCAGAGAAGCCGAAGTACACTTTATTGTGCACTTTATACATCTTAGTCGGCTTGGCACTGACTAGCACCATCATCGAGCTCGTCAGACGACAGTACACTCAGTCCTGGAGGAGACTACAAAGACTGAGCGGTCCATTGGCTGAGGCTCTTAGGAAATTAGGTGAACAAGCAGGCGGCGATATGTCGGCGTTGCACTCTGATATACGGTATATATCTCTCTTTATTATTCTTTCTACATTAGCTACAATTAGTTACAGAGAAATTTCAATAAATGATTTTTCTTATTGATACTTTCTAAGAAATCGTTAGAAGAAGATTAACAATAAAACACCAATTTTAGAAAAGTACTGATGGTCATATCTATGCCACGATTAAAGTGGTCCGCGGCCATAGATCGGAGCATCACAAAGGATCAGGACTGGGAAGAAGCAGTAGAGGCGGTATTGCGCGATATCGCAGTATCCGGGACGGCGCCGCCACCCAAGAAGTCGATCGTACAAATCGTCGTTTACGAGTCTAGTGTTTAGTTTATTGTTTAATGCTTGGAGGAAAGAGTCGCGTTAATAGCAATGTTTAGAACCCTAAATTTAGATTAAGACCTATACTCCAAATAGGTCTCTTATTGTAAATACTTGATGAGTGATCGTTTTAAGTTAGATTTCATTCGAAACTATTGTAGTTCAAGTCGCTTACAATTGATTGAATGGGTTTTATCCATTTTGAATCACAATAGTATAGATTAGACCGTGCATGGATCAAGCTATATCGAAGACAAACAATCACGAACGAACGTTCAGATTCGAACATTTACGAACGAACGTGGATGTAATGAGCATTGAAGTAAATTCGGCTTCTTATTCGTAATTACAGCCTTATCCATAGATACAGAATAGAATATGTCTGTGCCTTCATCGAAACAAACTAGTTTATCTAGCTACGTTTATTCGCGCTTTCTTTTCTCCGGATCTTTATGTTCTCAGACAATACGTGTATCTACTAAAGACGCCATAAAAACATCATGAAGATGTTTCTTAGGAATACATATACATATACATGTGTCTAAAAAATATCTAAAAAAACTCTATAAACATCTTCTAGACATTGCGTGTTGTCTGAATTTGTTCTCTATGGCTCATAGACTTTACCAAAACTTTCTATATCGCTTTTGCCAAACTTCAAATGTATATCTATATCATCTTAAGTACACTTCAGTCACAAAAAACAGATCTTTTTACGTGTAATATGTTTTACCTTAATCTTTGTATTTCGCGCGCGTTGCCGCCACAAACATTGACGCGACGCGGTCGATGAAAAGCATCGAGAAGCGCATGAAGGGACTGCGTCTCCGATCGACGCGACGCGGAGTATCTGGGATAACGAGGAGACGGTTGCCTCGTGTATCGCCGATCTGCTAACCAGCTAAATTTAGAAGTTGTGGACGACGCGCGGACTTCGACCTTTCTCGGCCGTGTCGTCCTTCGTCATCGCGGGCCGCGTCGAACTCAAGGTGTCCGGCCGGAGCGATGGCGGGTTCCGAGACGTCGCGGGTCGAGATCAGCGAGAGACCCTCGGCTATCGTGCGCATCGCATATCATGTGCGTATAACGATAGCTTTTCAGATCGATTACAGTCACCGTTCTATATGGCGATGTTTATTTAATAATTCGTCTTTCCAATTTTCATTATCGACGATTTGCAGACGTTTACTTTTAACGTTCAGAGTGCGATGTTACGGAAAGTTATTCCCGCTGACGGAGAATTTTCCGCGATTCGCCGCAGTACCACAGACTGTACCACAGATTGTCAATACTATGATGTTAATCAAAGTACCATGTTAGTTTCTCTGACCGTGAGTTGCCACAATTTCCGAATTGACGTCACTGAGATCGTATGCGGAATGGCGTAATTTTAACGTTCATTTGTTATTCGAGACGTGAAAAACCTTATTTGATGTGATTGAAATATACAGCGGAAGTTAAGTAAATCCAATATTTGAACCGATCGCAAAAACCGCGAGATCGACGACGGATTGTCACAGCTATTTCGAGCGGATTAATCACGTGACTTATGTCTATTTCTATCAATACGGATTAACTTTATCCTCAGTTACTTTTTATATTTTTGCACATGAATATTATTAAGCATCAGAATTCTCTTTGTGATCGAAAATAAAATTATTTCTCTTAATTGATTTATTCTTGTAATTGCTACTTATAATTGTATATTTTTCTAGTTCTAAGTAAAAAATAAAGAGTAAATTAAATCGAGATTAAAGTTAATTTACTTCGGTGAAAATAAATATTAAAATAACTTTGACTAAATTTTGATTGATTTAATTGTCGATTGCTGAAGTAATACAATAAAAAATATTTAAAAACCAGAATATATATATA